TCAAACCCACCAGCCACTCCTCGGAAGGAAGGTTGGGCAATCCTACTTCCGTAGTGATACTGCCTCGGAAACCCAAGGAGGGGTCGCTATGAGTCGGGATCGACTCGACGGCACATAACAACAACAACAACATACCCTTACTCAAATCACCATGCTTATCTGATGCAAGGGGAGTTTTCCTGAAGATGTGGCTGTATCCAGTATATGTAGGATGATCTGGCAAAGTTTTCTGTTGCTCTTGATCCTCCATCTGACTTCTTGTCCTCTAACTTCTGGTTCTTCGAATGTGATCCAGGAGCCTACCACCTGACCTGTCAATTTTGGTTCATTAGCTCCTGCAACCACATGAGTCCGGAAAAGCATCCAGCCTGATGCCTGAACCACCAATTTGGGACTTAACAGTCTCCACAATTTCATTAGCCACTTCCTTGAAATCAGTCTCTCCCTGTATGTTAGTTTACTTGGATCCATAATCAGTGCCCATGGAAACAGTAGTCAAGAAATCAAACCATATACTGCATTGGTCAAATCTGCTGCAGTAGACCTCATTAAAGTGTTACAAAGCAAAGATGTCACTTTGAGGACTAAAGTGTGCCTGCCCCAAGCCATAGTATTTTCAGTTGCCTCGTGCATGTGAAAGCTGGATAATGAATAAGGAAGACTGAAGGAGAATTGATGCCTTTGAATTGTGGTGTCAGAGAAGAATGTTGAATATACAGTAGAATGCCGGAAGAACAGACAAATCTGTCTTGGAAGAAGTATAGCCAGCATGCTCCTTAGAAGCAAAGATGGAAAGACTTTCTATCACACTTTGAATGTGTTATCAGGAGGGGCCGATCCCTGGAGAAGACCATCATGCTTGGGAAAGTAGAAGGTCAGGGAAAAAGCAGAAGACCCTCAGTGAGATGAATTGACACAGTGGCTGCAAAAATAGGCTCAAACATGTTGCAGAGGAATAAATTTTCCCAAAAGTTTTCTACAGCAAAAGAAATTTTTTTATTATGACATACAAAAAAACAGAAGTGAATAATGGGAAATTGGCTACAAGCATTATGGCTATTAACAGACTAGGATCCAGAGAAGTGTAATTAATAGGTGCTTTTTATACAGTTTTGACAAGTGCTGATTCATTGTAAGGGTCTTTCAGTGTGCCTTTTACAATCATTGGAGTACTTACCTATCAGTAAATTACTTCATGTTATGATTGGTTAAAGTGAAAACAGAGAACTAAAATTATGATTGGGTAACATTTTTATGTTTTTTTTCCCCCCTCTAAACTGTGGGCTCTTGGCTCAGGGATCTCGGACTACTCATATAGTTGTTGCCTGGCAGCCTTTAGTTTTGGTTTGGGCTTATCAATGATAGTGACAGCACCTAACAACAACTGTCTTGGAACAAGTACAGCCAGAATGCTCCTGAGAAGTGAGAATGGCCAGATTTCATCTCATATACTTTGGTCATGTTGTCATTGGGGACCAGTCCCTGGAGAAGGATATCATACTTGATAGAGGGTCAGCAAAAAAAAGGGAAGACCCTCAACTAGATGGAGTGACACAGTGGCTGCAATGATGGGCTCAAGCATAGTAAGGGTTGTGAAGGTGGTGCAGGACTGAGAAGTGTTTTGTTCTGTTGTACATAGGGTCTATCAGTGGGAGCTGACTTGATGGCACCTAACAACAGCAATGCCTAGAATGCTGATCTTCAAGTATCCCTTTTTGTTTTGGAAAACAACTTCCAGTTTTCCTTTATTCATATGTCCTGAGTTCTGTGTTCCAATTATTAATTGATGCTTACAGCTGTTTCTTCTCATTGTGATTTGTGCCGTATCAGCAGAAGAAAGTTTTGTTCCAGGTATGTAATTAAGGTTGACGCTGAGGAGGCAACTCTTCCCTAGTTGTATTTTGAATGCAAACTGAGTAGCTTATCTTATAGCACTATACTGGATAATGTTCACTTGCTATCCATAAACTTCTTATTGCCTAATTTTCAGAAGCCGATAAGTAGACCTTTTTCCTTGTCTGTCTTAGTGTAGAAGCTCCATTGAAACCTGTCTACCATGGGTGACCCTGCTGGTGTATGAGATAAAGGTGGCATAGCTTCTTGTACAATTTCAACACTATTGTACAGCCGACAGGTGAATGGTGGATATATGGTCTACCCACCAGTATTATTGTTTCTGGAAGATGTGTCTTATGTGGGGGTATAAAAAATGATAAACTTTTTATTTTCATAGAGCTGTAATAAGCTTACAGGATCAAGACAATTCAGATAGTAATATGACTGTACAGAATGTTCATCTGATGTCACCGACTGGTATATACACATGGAAGACAGGAGCAGATTTTGAAAATCTGAAGACTTCAGTTTTGGAAGGAAGGTATGTATTTGTTCTAAGGATAGCAAGTTTTACTTACTAAATTAATTACCTATTGCTTTATAACAAATTACTGCAAAACTTAGTTTTAATATTGTTAGTGGTTTGTGTTATTTTTTATTTTATTTTTTTAACAGTTTCTGTGGGATAGGAATCTGGGAGAGATTTAGCTGCTAGTTCTTTCTTGGGGACTTTCATGAGGTTGCAGTCAAGATGTTCATCTGGCCTATGGTACCCTAAAGGCTTAACTGTAGGATCTTCTAAGATTACTCACTGGTTTGGTTGGTTAGAGGACCAGTTCCTTCCTGGTTATTGTCAGGATGCCTTAGTTTTTAACTTAGTGGACCTCTGCATAACATTGCTCAGTGTGGCACCTTAATTCCCTCAGAACAAATGATCCAAGAGAAAGTATGACTATATTGAAAGCTACAGTATTTCTTAAATGATGTAGCCTCTGAAGTTTCACATCATTGCTTCTACTTTAGTCATTAGAAACAAATCACTAAGTCTAGACCACATGCAAAAGAAGGGAATTAGGCTTTACCTCTTGAAGGGAGGAGTATTAAAGAATTTATGGTTATGTTTTTAAACAAGCACTCATTTCATGAGCAAACAAAATTAACTTCTGTGATATCTGAAATCATAAACCCTTTTTAAAAATGAACGAATGGTAAGTTACAGGAAATTCTCAGACTTAAAGAATAATGAAGATTTCTCGTGAGTGTGGGGGATTATGACAAGGCCTATATAGGGTTGCTTTGAGTTGAAATCAACTTGATTGCAGTGGGTTTGGTTTTTGATTTGGTATCTTGGGTTCATAATAGCAGGAAAAAGATTTAAAGTAGGATAAGTTAATCATCACTGAAACTTTCTGCGTTACATTTAAAATTTTGATTTTGGTTGTAGTTTTTAAAAATTGAGAAACAATTTTTTGTTTAATTTATGCTTAGATTTATTTTTTGTAAAATGTATAGCATATTTGCCATTTTACTTCCGTAGAGATACCACCTCAGAAACCCAAGGAGGGGTCGCTATGAGTTGAATTGACTCGACGGCAGTGAGTTTGGTTGTTTGGTTTTGAAAGTTCAGTGAAACCAGTTACATCAATCATGGTATGTGGCCATTACTAAATTTTCTGTCCACATCAACAAAAACACAGTGGTACCTGAACAGTGACTCCCAATTTTCACATCCCTCTCACCCCTGGCAACCACTATTAAACTCTCTCTCTATACATTTGCCTATTCTTGTCATTGTTAGTTGCCTTGGAGTCAATTCCAACTCATGATGATCCCATCTTTGCAGAGTAGAACTGCTCCATAGAATTGGCTATGGGAGTAGATTTCATTTCAAGGGCCCTCTGTAGCAATTTGAAGGAGACTGGCAGCTAACAGTTAAGAAGGTGGTAGAGGGGTTGTAACTCTCCAGGTGGACATCCTGAGATGTCTGCTTTGTTGATTTTAGAGCAGACACTTGGGTCCTATCTCTGTACAGGCAAGTGGTATGGTAGCTAGGGAATCAGTCTCATTTGCTGGGGTTGCTTCTCCAGTTAGCAGCCGATGGCCTGCTTGACTGAGGGAGAAGCAGGGATGTTGAGAGAAGATATGTTTATACTTTGTGTGGCTCATCATTGACTTGTTGATTCTTCCCTGTCTGCAGTTCCCTGCTACTGCCCTCTGTTCCCCTATTCTGAGTCCCTCAATAACAAATACCCTTTTCTTATTGTATTTCTTGGTGTACATATGGAGGAGAGTAAGAACAGTGATATATTTATGCTGCCATCTTCCCAGAGTCCTCTAAGTTATTTGAGTTGACTAAATTCATAGCCTTAATCCTTGAGTTAGTTTAAAAAGGTTATAAAATTCAGTATTTTATCACATTTGGCAGTCAGTTGTAAATGGTAGAGTCTTTGTTTTATGCATTAAACATTATATTTTTGGTGTCTTATAACATCAGTATTGGTTTTATAAGAAAGAAAGGTTTGGCAGTTTTAGGAGAAAAATGTCCATGTAGATAAATACGTTATATATATGTATTATAAAACACACATTTTGTGGTGGTTTGTTTCTTCAGTGGACCTTCCAGGCTCCAGAAATATACGATGTCTGGAAAGAATTCTGATGTGAGTAGAAAGAAAGCACAAGAAAATTCAGGTAAATTATTGTTTATTTTCTACTGTCTGCATTTTTATCACATTATCCATACAGGGTAAGGCGTGCTGTGTTCAATTTAAATTGTTACTGATGACAAATGTTTATTGAGTACCTGTTCTTAAGAACTTTAGCGTATCAATTTGTAAGACCCTGTGCCTACAGTAAGGAGCTCTGGTGCCACAGTGGGTAAGGCATTTTGCTGCTAATTGGAAGGTCAGTGGTTCAAACACACCAGTTGCTCCATGGGAGGAAGATGGGGCAATCTACTTCCATAAAGATTGAGAGCCTTGGAAACCCTTTAGGGGTTGCTGTGAGTCGGAATCAACTCGATAGCAGTGGTTTTGGTTTTCTGGTTTTGGTGCCTACGCTGGTGCAAGTACATTGTGATTGACTTCTAACCTAAAGGATGACTGAACCTATGCAATGACTCTGAAAGAAAAGTCCTGGTAATCTGTTTCCATAATGATTATAGTCAAAAAAATGCTATGGGGCAGTTCTACTCTGTCACACACAGGGTCACTGTGAATCAGAGTTGACTTGATGGCAGTGGGTTTGGTTTTTTAAATTTTGGTGCTGGGGTACATTCACGAGAGGGGATGGAAGTACGCAGCATACAGGAGGGGGAGAAAGGGAGAAAGGAGTAGGAGGGAGAGAGGTGAATATAGTCTTTTAAGGAGGGCATAATGAAATATTGGCACTTATGTATTTTAAAATGTTAAGCTGGTAAGAGTATAAATGAAAAAAGATTGATGATATATTGATGATTAATGAATATATTGGATTCATTGTACTGTTTTCTCTATTAAATATTTTTGAAACTTTCCATAATAAAGTTTTTAAAATGCCTCTTAATAGAGAGCTTTATAAATTTACATGCATGCTGTACACATTTCTTAAGAAGTTTTCTTTCTTATGTCATTTTAACTATTTTTTTTACCTTTCTTTACATTATTTAACTTTTTAGGTTCTATGTTTTTGTATTTCCTTACATTTTTTTATATGGTAAAGAGAAGGCTGTGAATTTTCTTGAGTATAATTCTGGCTTCATTGTATAGGTTTTGTAATGTTCTTATTGTTGTGTAGTCTAAGTTATAGTGATGATTTTTCTTTGATCCTGAAGCTACTTAAGAGAGTGTCTTAGTAAAGAGATTGGTTCACAGAGTCAGAGGTCTAGGACTGAATCCAGCTCTACCTCTTACTAGCTATGTTATCTTGAGAAGGAAATTTCATTGTTCTTAGCCTCAGCTTCCTTATTTGTAAGATGGTGATACCCATGTCAATCCCATAGTTTGAGAGAAAAATGAATACATGTTCCATGCATAGCTTAATTGCTTATGTATGCTAATTGTGCAGTAGTGTTAGCTGTTTTTCTAAGAAGTTGTGTTTTGTTCCTTTGTTAATAATTTCTAGTTTCAGTTCACTATTACTAGACCACTTGGTCTACACTATTCTTGTAATTTATTAAGATTTTCTTTGTGTTCTAGTATATTCTTAGTTTTTGTAATTCTTCCATGAGTGTTTGAAAAAATGGTATTATTTTATATGTACAAATAGAGACAAATAAAAATATCTACTTGTCCTTGTTGTGTTGATGGTATAAATATATATATTTGTATACTTAAATATGTTTTAAATATTTATGGAATACTATGAAATATTATGTAGTCTTCTAGGGAATGTGAATGCAACAGTGAGTAAAACTGACAGAAATTCCTGCCTTTCCTGAAACTTGCTTTCTGGAGGTGTAGGCTGGTAAATGATATAGAAAGATATCTATCATCTATCATCTGTTGAATGTTGAGAGCAGAAAAATAAAATAAGGGTCTTAGGGTGGACCAGGCAGCATTTTGTTTCATTGTACATGAGTCAGGGACTGACTTCACAACAGCTAGCAGTTAACAACAACAATCAGGATTACATTTTTAGATAGACAGCCAGAGAAACCTCACTGAGGAAGTTAGCATTTAAGCAAAGACAGTGAAAGTAGTGAGAAAGCAAAATATGTAGCTATCTGGGAAAAGAGTATCCTAGCAAGAGGGGAGATCAGTAGCAAAGATTGTGATGTGATAAAGGATCTGTCCTTATTGAGGAACACCAAGGAATCCAGCAGGCTAGAGCAGAAGAAGGACGATTAATAGGAGGTGATGTCACAGAGGTACGAGAATGAAAAATCATGTAGGGTATTAATGGCCATTGTAAGGGCTTTGGCTCTTACAGATATGGGAAGCCATTGCAGAGTTTTAAGCAGAGAAGGGACATGATCCAAAGTAATTAATAGAATTTCTTCAGCTGCTGTGTTAGGAGTGGACTGATGATGGTGAAGGTTAGATGGGAAGTTAGAAGCAAGAAGATGAGTTGATGAGCCATTGGAATAATCCTGGTGAAAGATGGTGAATTGGACTAGGGTGGTAGCAGTGGAAAGTAGAGAATAGTAGTAAAAATTTGGATTTTTTTGTTTTGTTTTAAAATTTTCGGATATTTTTGAAGATAGAGTTAATAGAATTTCCTGATAGATGATATGTGGGGTGTAAAAGAAAAAGAGCTGTTGAGGAAAACAGAGATTTGACCTGAGCACCTGAAAGAATGGAGTTCTCATTTCCTGAATTGGAGACTGCTTGAGAAGGAACTCTGGTGGCATAGTGCCTTAAGGCATTTGACTGCTAACCAGAAGGCTGGCGGTTCAAACCCACCAGCCACTCCTCGGAAGGAGGGTTGGGCAATCAATCTACTTCTGTAGTGATACTGCCTCAGAAACCCAAGGAGGGGTTGCTATGAGTCAGATCCGATTTGATGGCAGTGAGTTTGGTTTTGTTTTGTTTTTTGAGAAGGAGCATATTTTGGGGTAAAGAACAGGATTTTAGATTTGGAAATAAGTTTGATGTTATTCTGATCCTTATATCCTTGCTTCTGATTTGTGAGATCTGTTAAGGACTGCCAGAGTTCAAGTAGTGTTCTCATTGAAGTTGTCCCTTTCTCCTTGAATTTCTTGCAGTCTCTGCTATGTGTTGTGTTTCAGTACTATTATTGAGCATGTAAGTCTTCATGTTTGCTTTATTTGCTTAGGTCAAATTCATCATGGTTCTATATAATGCTTTTACCTTGCAGTCTATTAATTGTGACCCATGCTATCTTTTTGTTTGTTGTTTCTTATATCTATATTCACCCTTTTAACTAAAACAAAATGACTGAGAGAATTTTTGTTTTTGACTTGCTCTGTCAGTATTTTTTAATAAATGTGTTTAACACATTTACACTTAGTGTTATAGCTTGTAAGCTTGTAATTTCTTTGTAAGGTTAGTAAACATTCTCACGTGTGCCAGCAATGACTCTAATTTTTTTTGAAAGAAAAAAAAAAAGAACTAGTTCATTTATTTAAATTGTATTTAACCTGTTGACTAGGAAAAATAATCTGGATTCATATTTTTTTGTCTTTTGAACTGTTACTCTTTCCTAATAGCTATTGCTTATGAATAGAAATTTTAAGCCAGGCTTCTTTATTTTTCCCTTTTTAAATAACTGTTTTCTTCCACCTGCATGATTATTAGGATTCTTTAAACTTTAAAATTCAGGCATTGTCTCTTTGTTGGTTATTTAAACAAAAACAAACAAAATTCAAAAAGCAACAATACATTATTTTGAAATGATTTCAGATTTGCAGAGAAATCCTATATCCTTTCATCTAGATTACAGGATTGTCAACATTTTGCCACATTTGCTCCATTTCTCTACTTCCCTCCCTTCCCTACAAATAATTGCACACATTTGTTATCATCAATCTTTCTCTGAACCATTTCAGAGCAAGTTGCAGACACGATGCACCATTACTCTTTAAGTATCCCAATATGTTTCCCATAAAGTTTTCCAATAATGGCACTGGACTGGGCAGTGTTTTGTTCTGCTGTGCATAGGGTCGCTATGAGTCGGAGATGACTCAATGGCACCTAACAACAGCAACAACAAATACCAACATATATTTCAGCAATGCACCATAACCAACCCTTCAACTGTCTAAATCAGGAAACCAGCATTAGTATAATACGATTCACTCCACAGGCTCCATTCAATTTTGCCAGCCATCCAGTCAGAGTTCCTTTTTCCCTTCTGGTGCAGGATCAAGAATTGTATTTAGCCATCATGTCTTTTGAGTGTCCTTCAACATTCCTTAGTCTATTCTTAATTTTCATGACTCTGATAAATTAAAAGGAGTGCTATTGTTGTTGTTATGTGCCTTTGAGTTGGATCCAACTCATAGCGACCCCTCCTTGGGTTTCTGAGGTGATATCACTACGGAAATAGATTGCCCAACATTCCTTCTGAGGAGTGACTGGTGGGCTTCAACCACCAACCTTCTGGTTAGTGGTCAAATGCCTTAGGCACTACGCTACTAGAGCTACTAAAAAAAGTGGAGGCTTTGCATTTTCTTTAGAATGACCTTCTTCCTGGGTCTCTCTGATGTTTCTTTTCTTTTCTTTCTTTCTTAATTTATTTATTGTGACTTGGGTGAAGATTTACAGAGCAAATTCACTTTCCATACAGCAGTTCACATATACTTTG